GGTTTATGGACACAAGACCTCTGCAAAGTGCAAAACACGTTGGATTATTGGATCATTGTTTCTTTCTTCGGCCACACAACCCATTTTGCATAGACATTGGCAAAAGCTTGACAGGAGATTTCTTTGGTCCATGCAAGGACTCAAGAGTATTGGTTGTCTTGAGCCTGCCGGATTCTTTTTTTTCATAGGCGCAAGTATGTCAAAGTATGAGATGATCGCCAAGAAGACACGTGGCCAGCTTGACAAAGACCAACATGACCAACGTTTTGATTGTTACCAAGGTCAGGAGCTTGTTTGAAATGGCAAGAGAAGCCAAACCAGCCATCATTTTTGTGGATGAGGCCAGTGGAATCCTGTTTCGGCTGTGTCACCTGGAGGTTGAAACATCTCCATGTCATTCAGGCAATTGGAAGTGGACTTCTGCAAAGTTGCTTGCGGAATGTTGCAGACATTTGATGCAGTCTTGTGTTCTTTTGTTGCAGACTTCAGCCACACACGCTCGCATTTTGAACACCATCCCACTAACCTAAAGAATACCCTCTGGTAATTTAACATAGCTATTGAAAATGACCATTTATAGTGGATTTTCCCATTGAAAATGGTGATTTTCCATAGTTATGTTAGTTTACCAGAGGGTACCTTATCAGATAACCCCAGTGGCATAGATCCAATCAGATACCATCCATGGGTCGGTGGTCCAGCAGAGGTCGACTCTCTGTGCGGTGCCCGCGGAGAGTCGGGTGAGTCCGATGCAGCCCGGCGCATCAAGACCGAGTTTTTGGCGCAGTGCTGCCGACGACAATTGCACGTCTTATACCTGGAATGCTGATTGCAATATATTGCAATTCACTTTTTGTTATCTTTTTGGGGGAGATGGGTTGAAACATGTTGAAAGCAGCAACCAGGTAGGGAACGTCAATCTGATCTAGCACAAATCTCTGCATTGTTTGGGTTCGTCGCGCTGAGAGAGGCGCTTTGCCTTCTTCCTTGCACGTCTCACACCAGCAGAACTCACTTCACACGTTGTTTTTCGCAATAGAAACAGCTCAGCCTCACATGTCAGGATGGATGGTGTCCATAGCTCAGCGACAAGTAGTGAATCAATTTGTTCTCATTGCGAGACAGTTTGATGTGTCGGGAGCTACCCAGGACTTTGATCCTCTGAAACGTCTGATGTACTTCTTTAGCGGCTTTAGCGCGTTCATGGATGAAAATGGGAACTTGTTACATAATTATCACAATGTTCCACCACGTTTATATATATAATATATAATATATATATATATATTATATATATTATATATATATATAAATTTATATAATATATACCACTGATATGTTCATGATGGGTCATTTTAGGGAAATTGGATCAGCAATCCCTCCAACTGGATCATACCACCTTAGATCCGGATGATTCGACCAGGTCGGCAAAGACAGTTCTCAAATTTTGGTCCTCGGTGCCACCAACACGCCTTGGGACAGCCCTTCCTGTTTTGCGGCAAGCAGTTGCAGAGTGCTGTTTTTTTGCTGTTTGGATTGCTTGGTGATATGCTCGATTTGAATGAATTCAAGCTTCAATGAATGATAATGAATGTCCTTGACTGGCAAAGCTCCAGATACAATGTGTCGTTGCCTCTGTTTCTCACAATACTGGAAGCATCATCCTTCTGACTTCACGATACCTTGCATATTATTTTGCAAGGGTACTTGACCATGCACAAAAATATATCAAAAAATGTGAATGTACATGATTGTACACAATTTCCAATCTGTTGGTATATGTTGGTATATGACATGATTGTAAACCGATGTTTGACGAGTCCAAACACTAAATACCAGCCACTTCTTTCTCCACAGGATTTGGACTCTGCGATCCGTCGTCGCTTTGAGAAGCGCATCTACATCCCCTTGCCGGTGATGGATCTCAGTCCTGCACGGAACATGGGCGAAGAGCAGTACTGGTAGCAAACAATCTAAACTATTCTCAAACCAAAATTTAAAACCAACGCGCAAAACATCCTGAAGTCTTTTGGAGTTCGTCGTGCTCTGAGTTGTTCCTCCCATTCTTCTCACATGTCATCACTTAGATCGGACAACATCTTCACCGGGTCCTGTGCTGATCCCTTACCATGGGCCCCGTGGGAAACACGTCGCACTAGGATGCAGATGCACGTGCGCGGTTGCTCACGCTGCACTTGGGCCTGACACTCAGCATGAAAGCACTTGGCGACTGAGACCAAAGAGTTGCTGAAAACGTGGGGATAGAGATGTGGAAATATACTTAATCGAAGGAAGTTTAGAAGTGAAACTTCCGACAATATGGACAGTTGAAAAGCAGAGGTCAGAAGAGTCAGAAGAGAAAAGATCAGAAGAAAGAAGATGCAGATGCGCGAAAAGGTAGGAAAGTCGCAATTCACTGTGTTTTTCCAATGATTTGTGGCTCCGGAGGGTCGAAAAGTAGGCTCGCTAAAGCGGCGGGTGCGGAGCCGGCTGGCCAGATGAGACATGAAAAAGTGCACGCCGTTGTGGCGCGAAGCACATTTCCAAGTCAAAATGGACAAAACACTAGAGGAGCGGACCACTTTTGGAAGTTGAGATGTCGAAAAAGTGCACGCCGTTGTGGCGCGAAGCACATTTCCAAGTCAAAATGCACAAAACACACCATGTTCGGACCACTTTTGGAGGTTCAGATGTCGAAAAAGTGTCGAAAAAGTGCACGCCGTTGTGGCGCGAAGCACATTTCGAAGTCAAAAGTGTAAAAAACTGAGGGTTTTGAGCCTTTTTTGACGTTAAGATGTCGAAAAAGTAGACACTGATTAACTTAACTAACTTCACTAACTTAACTACCCTTACTTAGATGCCAACAGCAACAGCAACAGCAACAGCAACAACAACAACAACAACAACAACAACAACAACCACAACAACTACAACTACAACAACTACAACCACAACTACAACTACACAACAACTACAACTACAACTAGAACTACAACTAGAACTACAACAACAACAGCAGCAGCAGCAACAACAACAACAGCAACAGCAACAGCAACAGCAACTACAACTACAACTACAACTACACAACAACTACAACTAGAACTACAACTACAACAACTACAGCTACAACAACAACAACGACAAAAACAACAACAACTACTACCACAACAGCAACAACAACAACTACAACAACTACAACAACTACAACAACAACTACTACTACTACAACTACACTACACAACAACTACAACCACACAACAACTACAGCTACAACTACAACAACAACAACAACAACTACAACTACAACAACTACAACTACAACTACAAAACAACTACAGCTACAACTATATGACTGCAACTACACTACACTAATTACATTACACCACAGCTACAACTCCACTACGCTACAACTACAACTACAGTTGCAGTACATCACACTACATCCAGCAGTTGTGGGTGAGGTGACCACTGCAACCATTGCAACCACTCCAGCAAACACAACTCCAACCACCTCTCGGTCAATCAGTGGATTCGCTCTGCCATCCGTGATTCACAACAACCAACGTCTCCTATAGGTTTCCTATTCTGAAACTTCCGCCACCGCCTTGTGCGGTACTACTGGTATACCTACCTAACCTTTTCATATGTAGGAGGTGTTTAGGAATTGCAATTCCATTTGCATAGGCGCAGACTGGCGCAGACTGATTGTGCCAGGTCACATTGCGGGACTGGGGTGGAAACCATTCAAGGCTGTGCCGGGCCTGGCTGAGGTGATACACCTCATAGCTGCACCAAAGAGGAGCCGTGCTGAGCTTTCCTGAAGTTTCTGCCACGGTCGAAAGCTACACTTCGGGGAACTTGGTGCCTCAGCCAGGTAGAGTGTTGTGTGATATTTTGTGGGGATGGCATTACCGTGAAGCTGGCATATTACCGTGAAATACCTGGTCCATCCTGGTCCACTATTTGTAGTTTAACTTTCTAGCCCTATCACATCACACCCGTCTGAAAATGGGGGTATGAATTACTTCGAATTGATCAATGACCATTTGGTTGGTGGTTTGGAACATGGCTTTTATTTTTCCACATATATATATATTATATTATATATAGTATATTATATATATAATATATATACATATTGGGAATGTCATCATCCCAACTGACGAAGTCATATTTTTCAGAGGGATAGGTCAACCACCAGCCAGGACATCCAAGCCATAGCAGCTCGCACCGAAGGCTTTAGCGGTAGGGAGCCAAGAACCATGTGGATGGCCCTCAAAATCCACGGTGGATCATCATGTTTCCTAAGGAAAGTGGCCGCCAGATTTTGACCCTATTGAAGAATTATCTACTTAAAGTTTCCATAAATGTCCTAGATGTTCCCTCTCCTCAGCATTCTGGAGTCATGGCTGGGTCTGCCCTGGCTTGGTACGCTGATGAGGTGCTGATATCTCAATTCTCACTCGAGATGCCCTTTTCGAGTTCCTTGACGACTGGATCATCGTGCTGCGCAATAGGATGGTTGCAATCAACAACACCCCATTGATGAGCACGGATGAGCTCAAGTGTTTCAGTGGGGACATTTCAACATATTTCAATATATTTCAACTGTTGTACACGCAAGCAGTGGTAAATCGCCAGGCTCCATCTTTACAACGTCGTGACAACGACAAGAGTGTGAATGATTGTCTTGCAGGAGTGCTTTCAAGCTGTTGAATGCGTGTTGCCTTTGAAGGGCTCAAACACTAATTATTGACATATTCTAATTATAGTATATTATAGTCAAGAGTCAAGAGTCCAAACAGTTGGGGCATTTTTTTTGCTTTTAGGCCTTCAGGCCCACAAACATGCACAAACACAGCGACACAGAGGGAGAGAGATACACGCACCCTTGGAAATTCTAGGATCGTGCAGGATCATGTTTAGTTATTCACGTAGCAGCGTAAGTTTTCGCCGCAGCACATTCCTGGTCGTAGTTTCTCTGCAAAAAGACAAGCTGCTTGTAGCTTTCCACTATGGCGGCAAATCAGAACATCATCACCATCAATGTGGGTGGCAAAGAGATCATGCAGGTGAAGCCAGAGTTGTTCAGCGTCGTCGGGGACAACAAGTTTGCTTCGATCTGTTCTGAACGTTGGCAACATCAACTTGATGCAGATGGGCGCCTGTTTGTTGATTATTGACCCCAAGTCTTTGTGCCATTGGTTGAATTTCTCCGCTTAGCGCGAGACTCAGAGCCGGACATGCCTGCACCGGTGCTGGTGGATCCTTCTTATCGTCGGGCTTGGATTCGCATGATGCTTGCGTCTTCCTTCCACCCAAAGGTGATGCGCAAAGCTGGGATGACACCCCAAGAGCTGCGGGACTGCGGTTGTGATCCCAAATTTCTCTGCGAGGCCGGGTTCTCCGTCAAAGAACAGGGGATCCAAGCCAGCGGCCCCCAGGCTAAGGTTCATTTGGGATCTGAAGAGAAAGTAGCAGAGCAGCTTAGTCTGCAAGACCTGGTGGAGGCAGGTTACTCGATCGAAGAACTGCGGAATGCTGGATACACAGCTGGACAGCTGAAAAATGCCGGGTTCAAACCGCAGGACTTCCTAGACGGTGGATGTATGTTTCCGTGTTTGAAACAGGCTGAATTCACAATTCGACAGCTTTGTTGCAGCGGGCTGACAATTCAGCAAGTTCTGGAAGTTGGGTACCTTGGCGAGGACTTGAGGCGTGCCGGATTTACTGTTGAATGGTGGTTTTACATTTGCTGAGCTGCGAGATTCCGGATTCAAGCTGCAAGAACTCAGACAGGGAGGGCTTACACTTCAGCAATCTTCAGCAACTTGTTGAGGCTGGGTTTGAAATTCAGGAGCTGAGGATGGCTCGCTTCACACCGGAACAATTTTTAGAGGCTGGATTTACGTTTCAGCAGCTGTTGGGACGTGCTGGATTTACCCTGCCGGAGCTGACCCAGCATGGTTGGACACTTCAGCAATTTCTGGAGAATGGACTCACATCAAGGGACTTGCAGAGGGCTGGACTTACCCCACAGCAGTTCTTACATGGGGGATTTACACTTCCACAGTTGCGAGAGGCCGGATTCACGCTCGAAGAGCTTGCACGACAGGATTTCACCCTTCGGGAAATTCTAGAGGCAGGCTTCACGGTTCAAGAGTTGAGAGTGCGCTATGGTGTGCATAGTTGCTATGACCACCGTTTCACCGCTAGGGAATTTGTAAGAGCTGGAGTGGCACTTGAAAAACTGAGACTATCTGGATTCAAAGCTCGTGAATTGCGAGATGTTGGAGTGACGCCCAAACAATGCCTGGATGCAGGATTTGATGCACGACATTTGGTTCGAGCTGGAATCTCATTGATAGAGATCGTGGGTCAACCTCAGCAGCTTGCTCAGGGAGGATCAACACTCAAGGATCTTTTCAAGGCTGGGTTTGCAGCTGCAGACTTGAGGGTGGCTGGCTTCAAGGCCGAACAGTGCTTAGATGCTGGCTCTAACCCGGAACTGCGACAAGCTGGGTTTCAACCTCAGCAGCTTGTTGAAGGAGGATTGACACTCAAGGAACTTGTTGAGGCTGGGTTTGCGCTTCCGGACTTGAGGACGGCTGGGTTTCGCCCCCAACAGCTCTTAGGTGGTGGATTTACACTTCAACAGCTGCGACTGGCTGCATTCAAATTTGAAGAACTTACATGGGAAGGTTTGACACTTAAGCAGCTGCTAGTTGCTGGCTTCACAGTTCAAGAGCTGAGAGTGGGATTCAGGCGACACACACACAGAGATATTGGTGCTGGTATGTCAATGTACTGGTATCATACTCGTTTCACGGCTCAAGAGTTCTTAGATGCAGGAGTGACGCTTCAGGAACTGAGAGACGCTGGATTCACAGTTGGTGAGATGCGAGCGGATGGGCTGACAGCCCGACAATGCCTGGATGCAGGCTTCGGTACAAGAGACTTGAATGATGCTGGCTTTGTGTTGAGAGAGATTGCAGCTGTGGGAATGTCGCCTATGTATAGCATTGCCAACGTGATTTGTTTGCGTCTTGCTGGCTGCTGCAGATTGTAGCCAGCATACGTCCCGACTGTCCGCACGCCTTGGCCGTAAAATGATCAGCTTTCTGCCACTGGAGATGTGCCAGAGGGAGTGCATCATGCCATGGGTACTGAAGGCTTGTTGAGAAAACCCTCAGTGACTCAACTACTACTAGGTATTTCATGAAGGACACCTTGATGCACTAGAATCTTTAGACGATGTATGTAGAGATGTACATTATGACTGGATATGACTGGCATTAATTGGTTACCAGTAGTACCGCACAAGGCGGTGGCGGAAGTTTCAAAAATAGGAAACCTATAGGAGAAGTTGGTTGTTGTGAATCAGGGATGGCAGAGCGAAGCCACTGATTGACCGAAAGGTGGTTGGAGTTGTGTTTGCTGGAATGGTTGCAATGGTTGCAGTGGTCACCTCACCCACAACTGCTGGATGTAGTGTGATGTACTGCAACTGTAGTTGTAGTTGTAGCGTAGTGGAGTTGTAGTTGTGGTGTAATGTAATTAGTGTAGTGTAGTTGCAGTCATATGGTTGTAGCTGTAGTTGTTTTGTAGTTGTAGTTGTAGTTGTAGTTGTTGTGTGGTTGTAGTTGTTGTGTAGTGTAGTTGTAGGTAGTAGTAGTAGTAGTAGTTGTTGTTGTTGTTGTAGTTGTTGTAGTTGTAGTTGTAGTTGTAGTTGTTGCTGTTGTTGTAGTTGTAGTTGTAGTTGTAGTTGTAGTTGTTGTAGTAGTAGTAGTAGTAGTTGTTGTTGTTGCTTGTTGTTGTTGTTGTAGCTGTAGTTGTTGTAGTTGTAGTTCTAGTTGTAGTTGTTGTGTAGTTGTAGTTGTAGTTGTAGTTGTAGTTGTTGTTGTAGTAGTAGTAGTAGTAGTAGTAGAGTAGTAGTAGTAGTAGTAGCTGTTGTTGTTGTAGCTGTTGTAGTTGTAGTTGTAGTTGTAGGTTGTTGTGTAGTTGTTGTAGTTGTAGTTGTAGTTGTAGTTGTTGTGGTTGGTGTTGTTGGTGTTGTTGTTGTTGTTGTTGCTGTTGCTGTTGTCGTCGAAGTTAGGGTAGTTAAGTTAGTGAAGTTAGTTAAGTTAGTCAAGTTAGTTAAGTTAATCAGTGTCTACTTTTTCGACATCTTCACGTCAAAAAAGGCTCAAAACCCTCAGTTTTTTACACTTTTGACTTCGAAATGTGCTTCGCGCCACAACGGCGTGCACTTTTTCGACACTTTTTGGACATCTGAACCTCCAAAAGTGGTCCGAACATGGTGTGTTTTGTGCATTTTGACTTGGAAATGTGCTTCGCGCCACAACGGCGTGCACTTTTTCGACATCTCAACTTCCAAAAGTGGTCCGAACCTGGTGTGTTTTGTACATTTTGACTTGGAAATGTGCTTCGCGCCACAACGGCGTGCACTTTTTCGACATCTCAACTTCCAAAAGTGGTCCGAGAATGGTGTGTTTTGTACATTTTGACTTGGAAATGTGCTTCGCGCCACAACGGCGTGCACTTTTTCGACATCTCAACTTCCAAAAGTGGTCCGACATTGGTGTGTTTTGTCCATTTTGACTTGGAAATGTGCTTCGCGCCACAACGGCGTGCACTTTTTCATGTCTCATCTGGCCAGCTGGCTCCGCACCCGCCGCTTTAGCGAGCCTACTTTTCGACCCTCCGGAGCCACAAATCATTGGAAAAACACAGTGAATCGCGACTTTCCTATCTTTTCGCGCATCTACCTCTTCTTTCTTCTGATCTTTTCTCTTCTGACTCTTCTCACCTCTGCTTTTCAACTGTCCATATTGTCGGAAGTTTCACTTCTAAATTTCCTTCGATAAACATGTTTTTAAAACGACATAAAACGACTATGAATAAGAAGCAGCTCTCGATCATATCTCTTGATGGTCACCATATTGGTCGCACGGCGACAGAGGCCTGTGAGACGGTGCCAACGTGCCATGGCCTTCAAGCGAGTACAGAAAGGTCTGGATCTGATCTGGGGCTGTTCCCAACAGATATGGAGGTTTCCCAAAGTCATGGGAGTAGCCCAAATCAACCCTAACATACCCTAACTAGATCATGTTAGTATTGAAACTGAAACCCCCAAGTGCTTGTTGGGTTGAATTATCTCCGGGTTTGGGACTGCATCACAGATGCAGTGCACATCCAAATGGGAATGGAACCAGGGAATCGTGGAACGTGGAATGGGACTGGTAAGATCAAATTCTGAGGAGGCTCAATGATTTGTTGAGGTGTGGCAGGGTTACAATTCCATGAATGAAACGGAATGAATATTAATATAATATAATAATATATATATATTTATGATTATTTATGTATAATTATATATATTATGGATATTGGGTTCCCATACAGAATCAAATTATGATCACTTCCGTGCTCCACCTTAGCTTGGGCGAAAGGTGGCAAGCTATACTGGACACCATGCAGCCCTGGCGCGGATGGCGCGGTTGCAATGAAACTGATGGATGTGCTGTCCTCGGTGGGAAACTTCAGCAGTGATGGAAAGAAGTCCTGGTTGATTTGTTGATTTGTTGATATAGAGGATGTTAATGGATGTTAAATGTTGTCAATATATAATGTGTCGATAATTGTTGATACATATATATATATATATTATAATCATATATGCATAGACTATAATACATTATAATACTATACATAATGTGTTTTTCATGGAAAAATTACAACTATATAATTGTACTGTACCACCTGGTTTTCTGGGATAGTGAACTGATGTGAACTGACCCAAGAACCGCGAACACCGAACCAATATCTCTTCAATGCCAGGTTCCAGCAAGTGAGCTGCTGTCGTTGGACCGGCTCGTCTTCTGTGAGCGCTGAAGACTGTGTGCAACACGTGGAATTTCAATGAATTTCACAAAATAGTAGCTTCTTGCGCATATTCTTGTCAGTCTTGGAACTTTCTTCCATTCCTTTTGCATCCTTTTAGCTGTTCCTTGCACTTGGTGTTTGGATCAGGTGTTCCCATGACCCATTGGTGGTTGAACCCACTCCAGGCCAGATGTCTTGCCGTCGGACTTTGAGGCTGAGAAGTTGAAGCCGCGGACAGTTGCTGCAATGTTGAAATAAGTTACTATCCACTGATATCATGATACAATATGATACAGCAGCTACTTTCTGGCTACATTTGATATTTTTAAAACGTCTTTTCAATGTAGTGCAATCCTAGCGTTCAAAGTGCATGCCCAACATGTGACAACACAGGATGGTTAAGACTGGTTAGTACCAACAGGGCCTTGATTTTGACACATACCGTTGTTGGGATCACTATTAATACCCCAAAAATCCGCCCGCACCGAAGGTGCTGGGGCGTGATCGTCCGGATGGCACTCGTAAAAGGTTACAGGTTTACCTGGGGGGGGGGGGCATTTTTCGGCCAAAACCTCCTGTTTTTGATAGGTCGTGACGCTCGCCTTCAAAAAACACTGTAAAAAACAGTACGGAAGACACCTGTTCGTGAACGCGCCCGTCCAAAATCGGCAAGCGAAAAGTGAAAAAAACCCGTGTTTTTCAACTTTTTGACCTCAATTTTTTGGTTTGCAACATCTTTTTTTGCGGTTCCGCAGGTGGCCTGGCCCGGAGGCGGATTTTTGAGTTTTTGGACCCGTTTTCGGACTGATTTTCGTCGTTTTGTGATAGCAGAAACACTGGTTTTTACAGTGTTTTTCTGTTTTCTGCATGCTTGACGGCTAGCTTCAAAATTTCCAAAAACCTCGTAAATTACGCTGTTTTATGTTACGGTGTGAATGAAAACATCGTAAATACCAGTGTTTTTTGACGTTGGTTAAAAAACACTGTAAATTACAGTGTTTTTGGCCACCTGACCCTCAAAAACCATGGTATTTGCAGTGGTTTCTGCTTCTCACCGCGCAAAAACACTGTAAATAACAGCAATTTCGCCGTTTTTTCATGTTTTTCGTTATTTTTTGAACTGCGTTGGTCCGCTATACATGGCTATCAAATTCTTCGCGTTTTTTTTTCCGACAATCAGTACTTTCGGATGTTTTTGGTCTCAATGGCCGACATCATTGGCAGTTACGATGCGGTGCGGGCGGTTGCCGTCGCGAAGCGACGTGAATATCCCTGATAAGATATCCCAATGTATCCAAAATATCCCTCATAAGATATCCCAATGTATCCAAAATATCCCTCATAAAGATATCCCTATCCAAAATATCCTTCATAAGATATCCCAATGTATTGCCATAGATCTCTGGGAGTGTTTGAAAATACCACCCAAATATACATAACCTGTTTTCAGACACACCAACAGGCTTATACTATCTCATACTACTGTTTATTATTAAATTTTGTGGTAAACCAAATAACCAACCTCCAATTTTGGAGGGTTTATCAGAACCATGTTTGTTGAATTTGGGGATTGTTCGAACCATAATCAAATCACATTGACACGTACTGTATGTACATATATATATTAATATATAATTATATTTAATAATAATAAGAATAATAAGAATAATAATAAATAATAATAATGATAATAAATAATAATGATAATAAATAAATAAATAATCATAATAATGTTCATAATAATAATATATATATATATATAAAAGATATTATATATATATAAATTATTATTATTATTAATTATTATTATTATATATATTATTATAATATATTATTATTATTATTATTATTATATAATTATATTATTATTATCATGATTATTATGATTTTTATTATTATTATATATATATATACATATATATATATACACATTATTATATATATATACATCACATAGATGATTACATGCATAAATATATGTAATATATACATTTACATATCCCATTAAATATCCTATAGATCCCCATAGATCCCATGGTCCCAATCCATTGGATCTGATGGGTCGCCAGGCTGCCCTCGAAAAGGTGCGCCCGAGTGTGAGCCCGGCTGACCTGAAAGATCACGAGGCGCGAGATTTGTGAAGGTCCAGTAGGGATCAGTATCCCTATAGGGTGAAATAACACATATATGATATAGATATATACCATATAGAATATAGATGATATAATATATAGATGATATAGATATATAGATATAGAATGATATAGCAAATAGATATAGAATGATATAGATATATAATATATAGATGATATATGATCATATACCTATAGACCGTAGGTAGACACACCTTTATTCACCTATTAAAATTTATGAACTATGTTCCACGTAATTGCTGGCAGGGCATTGGTTATGACATCTTATACCAAGCAAAGAGTGAACAGCAGCCGTGACGCACTCGTATCGGCACGAAAATGGTTGCACACAGCCACTAAACAATACTATCAATACTGAAGTACAAACCCTTCTAGGCCCACGCCCAAGCATCTTTTCTGCCTTGTCATCCACAAAAACATCAATGGGAATTTCAGGACCATAACATGGAGGTACTGCACCATATAAGGTCATATTTTGCAGAGACTTACGTTGCCCTTATCTGGGCCTTATATATGGTAGGTACCTCTAATTTAGGTCCCTGAAATGGCCATTGATCAAAATGCGTGGCAACTTGTGGCACTTCTGCAACACAGCTGGCACAAACTTATGGCAATTGCATCATCCCTCTGTTTCCGCAGGCGTTTACCTCGACTTTCGGCATGGAGGGCCAGTGATTCTGCAGTAAATGCTGAACCGTCACTAGCATTCACTAGCATTTGAATGTTCTGGTCATCCAAGCTGCTTTTCTTCAAAGATACCGGCATTTTCTGCAGTCAAAACAGCTGCAGCTTTTGTTTCACAGCAGTCTCTCCTGGTCAGGGGGTTGCAGGCCGCTTGTTTGGAGCAGGGCTGCAACCTACGTAAAATCAAGATGAATCAAGCAGACTTTGAGATATTTGAGTCATCTTTTCGCCTTTTTCTGAAACCAAAGCTCTTTTGAGGTGGGTTAATCAACCATTTGTGGTGGTCAACCCGTCATTCTCGTGGATAAAACCATAGTTGAATGATCCAGGCACAGGCTGCCGCTTTCACCTGGGACAGTGCTGCTTGCAGCCGATTCTTTGCAGCGCGCAGCAGCGCTGCATTGATTGCTTAATCTCTGCATTGACTGAGGAGTCAAGCCTCTAAGGAGGGCAGGTTGGCATTTCTGGATCTTGCTGTTAAGGTGTCATGTCGACAAATATTAAGTTATTACTATATAGATTGACATTATCTACTTCGTTCCTATTTCTATATGGTGAATGGATGTGAATGGATGGTTTTTCTTCGTATAATATATACATATTATATATATATATATATTGTCAATTAATATGGGAATACATCATAAAACAATATCCATCCCATTCCCAAGTTGCATCCAGGCATAGGCGGTGACTGTCTCAGAATGTTTCTGACAATGATGAGCGTCAACGTCTAGCATAGCGAGGTTGATAGTTTCAATGTCTGAAACCAGATTTGCCATCTGCTGTCAGAACAGACACAGAGTGCGGAAAATGGCGCAGGTAGACCCTTGACTCATCTCGAACTTGTGATTGACTTTTGCTTCATTTGCGTTGAGAAGGCTGTATGAAATAATGCTTTGATTTGATTATATATTCACCGCGATTTCACTGACATAGACATTATGATTTATAATTTGATGTATCACTTTAAACACCTTGTGATTTACTTTTTCAAGCATGCTTTCAAATCGCACTCGTTTACGACCATAACTGCCAGGACACACATGACACATGCCACGTCAATTGATTGTTTCAAGGACCTCTAATTCTATCTTGATACATCATATATATATATAATATTATATATATATATACATAAATATAATTAGATAGATGATAGATAAACCCGTCCCTATTTTTTTCATGGCAGATTCAGTGGATTTCTCCAATTAGCTTCTCGGCTTTAGAACTGCAACTCTTTTGTGTCGATAGAGCTGCGGTAGCCGTGCAGAGCCATGTTGCGCATGTTTGACTGGAGACGGGAGCCCCGGATGTGCCCTGCTTGTCGCTCAACTTTGGCTGTTAATCACACGACCAAGTCAGAGCAGATACCGTCACACCCCAATGCACCTAGAGAAACACAAATAGACATCCAGGTCAACGTAACATGTGCATATGCATACGGATAGAAAGACTAGAACACTTTGCATTGTCTCCAACTACTGTACAGTACATTGCACTTGCTTGCATCATTCCCCTAGCTGTACACAGACTAGAACGAAATCGACTTACTTTATGAGTTATGAGAGCCACACGGAAAATTTTCATTACCTCCGGCTCCAGCTGTTGCGTTTGTTTGCTCGTATAATAGTTACTTCCCATTTTCCCTGCTAGTTGCTTACGCGCATCCATACATCCATCATATGAAGACATGTATCATCATACAATATATAAATGATAAATGTGCAAATAGTCACCCATTCCCATCCACCCATCCAGTGAACCATCTGTTCGTCAATGCATGCCTACATCTTCAAGTCATCAGGTGGAAAGGATGAGACCTGTGAACAGGTGAAAAAACTTTTGAAGAAGTGCCCTGGGCCACACTGAAAACACCGTCATCTCAGACTGGATTCCAAACATCGCCCAGTACAGTGCGAACACGACGGTTGCCAAACTCTCTGATGCTACGGGACTTAAAGTGGGTGGATCCGTGTTACATTGGGCGTTGCTGTGAGTGTGGGTGTTGTTTGGTATGCGAGAGTTTTTACAGTTTTTGAAGAGATGCTGGATTACAGTTTTTGAATGGTTTGAATATGTTTGAATAGTTTATCAGCTATTCTCAGGAGAATCATAGAAAATGATAGAATTTCTGAAGTTGAGCGCCGGAACCAGGGTACCACCGGCGCAGGTACCCCGATCGCATCCCGGTGATTTGCACCAAGGCGGATGGTTGGTGCAGTTGGTGCCTTTGGGGCGAACACCGTGGGGTGTTTGCTGCTAGGGTGTTCGCTTAAATTTCTTCAGGCTGCAAAAACAAGTCTGCCGGAGATTGAGAAGAAGAAATTCTTAGTGCTGGGTGCTCAGTTTGGTGTTTGAACTGTTGAACAGTTCTGCCCAGCGATGTCTGGAATTGGGCCTTCCAAACGAGTTTACTGAAAGGTGCCATATCCGGCATGCCATTGGCTCATCAGATGCTCATCAGCAGTTGCAAATCCCTGTCCCTGCCACTAAATCATAATAAATCTACAATGACCTGAACCTCAGGCCTGCGACAATGCTTTGTGGGGAGTTCAAGTCTCTTGGCTTGACTACTGTAGATAAGCCTACAGATTTCATTAGATGCAGCTAGGACCAGCGGTTAGCAGCAGTATGTGCAGTGCCAAGATTGGAGCGCTGAGATGTGATAGTGCTAAGGTTCATCATTCACAAGCACATTGCAGCCACAGGAAGCCCAAAGGAGAGCATGGGGCCTGACCAGGACGGAACTTACTTGTTTTTGTTCGATGTGTGTTTTTGCTTGCACTGGATTAAACTGGAATATGTAAGTGGTTCATTGATTGATCATTGATCATCGTATGTTTGAGATGCTTGATCTGATCACCTGTCAAAGTCATGGCAGGCACAACATGCAGGCCAATTGCCACACTTGATTCACAGTCTTGCAGCCCGCCAGACCTTGTACTTGCTGATGAACAATAGCAAGAAATCTGTAAAGGCCAGCCAATTCATGTGCGAGGTGCCTTCCTGAGACTGCTGTCGTTCTAGTTTTGGTTGTTTGGTGAAAGTGAGATGCCACGAGACTAACTAGAATCATCATCAAATTTGTGAACAATGGTCTTCTGGCGCAACTGACAAACTTGAAAACTATTGAAAAGAATTCTGCCATATCCTTGGAATGTCACGATTGCTGTTCAATTTCATGAAGCACTTGACACTCGCAAACCAGGTATATGCCGCGCACAGGGCAAAGGATGGCTATTTGTGCCCCACATCCACCACATTCCACCACGATCGCAACAGCATCAACAGATTGACTGAGAAACGGTCAAACACTGCAGGGTTGACCATAGATGTACATTGAAGCCATAGAAGCTTACATGTTTATACATGTTTATACATGTTTAATTTTTTTTGAATCCCCTAGCCGCTGTTCGATGGTCATTGCCTCTGGAACCCGCAACGCAGCAGAATCAGGTACATTCACTACAGTGCCGAAGCAACCCTTGGATGATCCCTCGATTTCCTTGGAATTCGGTGCTGTCTGCAATTCGCACAGAGTCGTGATCGTGATGCCTTTCACGTTCTCCGTTTCGGACCCAGTGATGAGAAATGGAGTCTTTGAAGATGTCAAGCATTGTCAGATATTGTCAGCATTTTTAAGTGCACTAAGCGAATCTCCAAAGGATCATTCAGTAGTTCTAGAATGTTCATGAATGTTCTAGGTATTTGACAATGTTCTAGGTTGTTCTATGTATTTGGGGAAGGATGGAGTCTGTGAAGAAATTGGCACTGCTCAAAATCAGTACGTCTCATCAGTCCAAAGCTGACCCGCTTATTTCAAAGTCTGCATTGGGCTGGCCTCGTACGCAGGTCTCCTCAGCCGGTGTCATGCTGTTTTTCAGACTTTGAGACAAAGGAAATGAAATCTTGCATATTCTTGCATTACCATACCATACTGGTACCAATGAATCCAATTGAATTTCATTGAATTTAATTGATTTTAATTGAATATATGATATTATATGATATTATATGATATGTATGTATTGTTTTGTATGCTTTAACATTTTATGCATGATATCAATATGTTCATTATAGTTTATTATAGGTACTTATATATTATCATGATTATATTATCATAGATATAATATATGTTAAGTTTTGATACTATTTATATCTTATATAATCATATATATATATTATACATCATACATAATATGGTATATATTACTGTATGTATTCAAGACATATATATATAATACTAACACACGATTCTTTTGATCTTATAATAGTATATTATGATCTAAATATATAATATTACACTATAATAATATATTGTAATATTATTATGATATTGTAATATTATTATGATATTGTAATATTATTATGATATTGCAATATTATTATGATATTGTAATATTGTTATGATATTGTAATATTATAGCACACTATTACAAACTTATATTGTATTATTATAATTCTATCATGAAATATTTGATGTTATTCATTTGATATTTTACATTATATGTTATATACATATATATATATACATATATATATATATAAGTTTAAACTCTATCATTTACATTTTGCTTATATTATGGCATATCATGATTTACTTCACAGTATAGTATAATTTAGCATATTCATATACATATATAGTCTTGTATTTGTTTATACTCTATTTGATCGTATTACTCGAGACGATGGGCCAACAGAAGTCGATCGGGCCCGGCCCAGCGCTGCCGCACTTTTTCTTCCGATCCACACTGGCGATGAGAATTATATCATTATATTACCATATCAAATGACATATGAAATAACATTTATGGTCCATTAAGTATATCATCATCATATTATCATATAATCATTGTATAATTGGAAATACTGTTGGACCATATGATGATAATATTACCATGACTCATTTGTTTCAACACGGTTTTCTTGTTACATTTTTTGGGAAAGGAACATAATTGATGATAATTATACCATCATTGATAATTATATATATATACTGTATCAAATTCATGGAGGATGTTCATGGATCTATCTATCCGCAGTGCCCATAGATGTCAGGTTTCCATGGGGGTACCCCAATAGCTGGATGGTTTATTTCATGGAACATCCCATCTATAAATGGATGATAACTGGGGTACCCCCCATGACTTAGGAAAGCTCCACATATTTGCTGTAAAAATGTATGGAAATATGTTATTTCTGACTGTGATGAAACAGGACCAACATTAGCGTTGTCCAAGGCTTTTCGTTCATTCACACTCGATGGGTCACGACTCATATTTGAATGGGGTTGGAAAGAGATGCACAACAGCCACTTATTTTGATGTCAGAACCAAGGAATTGAGTTAGTGACTTTTGTGGGCAGTTCCTGTGCATGTCTATATAAACATCCAGTTTCTTAAAACATCTTAAACACATGCAAGTGTGCTGCTTTTTGAGGAAACTACCTCATTTTTTCACATTTTTCCCACGCTTTCCGCAGTTTTCAGTGTGGGTCCATGAGGCATGGGGGCGCCCAGGTCATTCAAATGTGGCGCAAAATCGTCGATGAAAAGTTGGCGATTGCCATCGGAACGATCGAAGTGCTAGAAGCTGGCGGAAATTAGGCCAAGTGTCACAAACCAGGGAGAATTGCTCCCGATGGAGGACACCATGGATATAGTTTAATAATGTTTAATACTGTTGGATCATATAGGCATCATTAGATATCCAACTTCGTTGATAACCAGCAACGAACCAGGGATCATCAGCAATGGGGGTCTTTACCGGGGTATACTTAGCCAACAATACCAATTTTGCGGACCTAATTTTCAGGCAAATTCAAATCCAAATTGATTATAGATATAGATGATATAGTGCCAGTACTTGTTGGCGGTCTCTAGTTGTTTTTCTTCAAAATGGAACGATCCTGACTGATGGTTGGTTCGACCAGGGGGATGCTGGTTGAAGTATGTTGAAATCCAGATGACCAGGTGATTACCAGTTAAACAATAGAACTTCCAACATAGGTCGAACAAAGACTGGAAACCTGGAAACCTGGATTTCTGGAACATAGAAACCTGGATTTATGATCTACATAGACACTGAAAATAACCAATTTTTAGTGGAAATTGACTTCTAACCCTTATAAGCCTTATCTGCCAGGGTCTATGTACGTTGATTTACGGTAGGGTAATACACTGTTTGCTGCAATATCCTGTATATATATATAATTATATATATATAATTAATTATATATATAGACTAATATAGACACATGATTATATGAGTTATATGTGTATAATTATATATATAATATATACAGACTATGGCTATGGGTCAAAATTTAAGACCCAAGTGAGCGATTTTGGCAGGGACATTCCATAACTTTTTTTCCTGCGGCTGTCAGATCTTCCCCAGAAAATAGCTGTCATGTTGGATAATGATATCAAGTATGTTCAATGATAGCGACTTCTATCACATATATCACATTAAATATAATTCTATTGTATGTTATATATATATATGGTTTATTTTATATGACCTATAATATGTATCATAGATATAATTCTATTGTATGGTTTATTTTATATCTATATGTTTATGTTCCTATAATTTCCTATATGTGCGAGAGCCGAATGCGATTCAAAGCATCACTTTTTGCAGCACCCTTGGCCTTTTGGCCCAGTTGGCCAAGGGACAGAAATTCCCTGGCTTCAGGACTGGTCGGGCAAGAGTCTTCGACAAGTCTTGGAACCTTGTTGATGGATTCTTTCGAAAAGTGGCACCCGGATCGGCAGAACACGTTTGGAGTCTTTTGTAGACATGCCATGCCACACATGGCACACATGCCACACATGGAGATGGATACGGTATGTCTCAGATCGAAGGGAAACCTAATGAGTCACGAGCATTCTGATCTATTGGCATCTATTTACAATTTTTACAAGGTCAAAAGTTATCAAAAGTTCACCTTTGTCGTGGGGTGTCATGGGATGTCATGGGATGTCATGGGCTCAAGATGTACAGTAGCTGCAGTAGCGTTTCTACTCCGCAGCCTGGGTTTGTTGCCATGGCTGCATACTCCAGTGAGCATTCATGGCTCCGAGATTTCGTTCCAAAGTTGAACGAGGGACTCCGTGGAAAACTGGTGGCTCACCGTGGTTTTCATGACCCTTTACTCTCTGACCTCCGGCCATTGGAATGCACCCTTCCTGCTTTACAGATGGCTTGGGAGTCGGGCGTGCTGAATTGCGAATGTGATGTGCGTCTCAGCTCCGATGAACAGATCATTCTGCTACATGATCCCAACCTGGATCGGCTGGTAGAGGAATCGGCCCGACCCACCCCAAATGCCAATACCATCATGGCTGAAGAGTTGCTTCGGTGGCCATTAAAGCAGCCAGAGATTCATATTCCACTCTTGCAGGATGCCTTGCAGTCAGCTCTCCGGAGCGGCAACCGCCTTGAGACTTAGCTTGGCCTAAGTCTAGCAGTACAACTATATATTATTATTAAATATTATTAATATTATGTTTATTATTATTATATTTAGTTATACATGAATATATATATATATATGTATATTTGTATATATGTATATAATTATATATAACTGCATATATATATATATATGTATCTATCTAATTGAACTTGCACAAAGATGCGGCTAAAGGGTTCAGTGGAATTATGTTTGGATCCAGTTGAACTTGCATAAATTGGTGCATTTTGATTCAAACGAATAATATAGTGAACATTATTGAACCACCAATCACATCATAGTTGATAATGATTGAATATGATTGAATCATATTGCATTCCGATTTCATTGACATGAAGGCTTTCGCTCAAAATTCTGAGCTTTTGCCATGTGATTTCTACGTGTCGAGGTGATTGAGCTGAAGGGAAGCCCTGGTTCTCCCAGTGTGGGTGCTGCGGTGGCACAGCTCTTTGCCAAAGATCCAACGCTTTTGGAGGAACATCAAAGGGAATGCACAAAAGGGACGCAGATGGATGACATTGCCCCCTTCCTACCCCCAACAAATTGAATTTCTGTGGCCTTTTGATATAAATAAACAATGATAAACCATGACATTTGGGGACGTAAGCAGTTTCAAAAGACCTGTGTGTTGGTTGATGACAATTCATATCAGCTCTTTGGATAATGCTATTGGATAAAATTGGATATAGATGGATTATAGTAGATATCATGGACAGTATCATGAACTACATTCGATAGTATTTCGATATAATTGGATTGTGATACCCTATCTAACATCATCCAGTATCATACCAGTATCTCTTCTTTTGCTTCTCCGCCTTGGCACAAGCAAAAAATCGAAAAACACCTCTTGATGGTTATTAGAGTGGGTAAAGACATGTAAAGACGGTTTATTGGGGATACTTGGGGATACTAGTAATTGAGATCTTATGGCCCTTTTTTATAGGGATAACAGCATGAACCAAGCGATATTTCATGTCAGTTGTTGGTTCATGATTAGTTGGGGGGTGATACTACCCGTTATATCTTCCGGATGATCCTAATCCAGTGTGAGGGAATACTTATCAACTTCAACCAGTGCCATCCCATCCCCTTAATATTAACCCAAATATGTTTCTTTCTTTATAATCCCGTACTGTTTACTGTACCATGCTTCCTGGGATGTGTTTGATATTCACGGGACTATACATAGTTGATATCTAGTTGCTTATATACATCAATAATCGTCAATATTAGAATATATATATATATAGAGTTTTAATAGAGGTATCAATCATATGACATGAGGGAACCCCCAGCAGCTATGGGTTTTTGACCGCACCAAGCTGAGATTCACCTTTCAGGCCTGTGCCCTGGTGATGTCTTTCGAGATCCCGGAGCTTCTGGCCTTCGCCGCGGCGGTTGTTTTACAGCGACCAAAGCTTCTGCTGTGACTTGGAAATATGGGGGTGTTTCAATGGGGGAGCCCCTAAAAATGGCTGGTTTTGGATGGAAACTCCTATTAAAATGGTTGATAACTTGGGGGACCCCCATAAAAAAAACACCTTCTTTGGGTTTGTTTCCATTAGAATTGCCATTTGGAGGGTATACCGGTATATATACCCCATTATCAGACAAAGCCGTATAGTTGGGGTCAACAGACATGGATGTCTTTACTGTATTTGTTCTTTTTGATGGGACTTATATAACCGGCAATATGATGTTTAGGTTTGTGTGAAAATAGGGTACTCCAGCCCACATGGTTTAGAATTTATCCATATCGAGATTGGCATACATATATGGGGTACAGTATCTCCCGTTATCTTACTTGTAACAAGATGGAACAAGTAATGTTGTTGATTGCTTACGGGCTGAATGATGTCATTCTGTTGTTTTGATTAATAATTGATGCGTGGATCGAAAGTGAAGAGCAATGGATGATGACAAGCGTGGCGTAGTGTTACATGTTGTGCCATCACATGCTGGAGCCTGACAAGACATGTGTTACACACACAAACACACCTAGTGTAGATCTGTATGCACATTCATGTATATATAACATATATACTATATTACTATATAATAGCTATTAAATCATTAATATATATATATATACTCATACACATATATGTATATATATATATATATATGTGCATATGTATTTATATATATATATAGTATAGACATGTCTAGAATGCACTATCCGAAATGCAGTACGAAGCACTTGAGCAATGCAGCCCACGGTCATCCTTCGTCTCGGGCTGCTACGAGGTTAACCGCCGTTTCGCGGGAGGGCCTCGAGGAGAAATATCAAACTTTGGACCTGGACAGTCCTGCATGGGAGGAGCAGGCCTTGCAGTATCTGGCTCGGAAGGACTGCGGGGAGCTCCACCAAAGAGAGAGCCCCAAGGGACCCAAGCGACAGCTACAGCGGTAGCGAAAGTAAAGCAACATGTGTTTCAACATTTATCGTGGATTCTTGGATCAGTTGCCAACTATTCTCAAAGATTGGCTTCTGTGACAGCTCGGAGATCATAGATTGAAAAAGGAGGGCTAATTATTTTAGGTTTTTTTTGATCAGGTTTAGGAATTATTTTTGGATTCCTGCTTCTCTGCTTTTCCTGCTTTTCCTGCTTCTCTGCTTCTCTGCTTTTCCTGCTTTTCCTGCTTTTCCTGCTTTTCCTGCTTCTCTGCTTTTCTGCTTTTTTGCTTTTCTGCTTCTCCTGCTTCTCGCCTTTTCTGCTTTTTTGCTTTTCTGCTTCTCCTGCTTCCCTGCTTCTCTGCTTTTATGCTTTTTTGCTTTTCTGTTTTTCCTGTTTCTTTGCTTCTCTGCTTTTCCTGCTTTTCCTGCTTCTCTGCTTTTCTGCTTTTCCTGCTTCTTTGCCTTTCTGCTGTTTTGCTTTTGTGCGTTTCCTGTTTCTTTGCTTCTCTGCTTTTTTGCTTCTCTGCTTTTTTTTGCTTTGCCTGCTTTAAATACTTGATTTTCATGTAAGATGCATTTTGCACAGTATTTACATCCCTGAGTATCACATGACCAACCTTCTCTTGAAAACTAGCAACGTAACATGTGAGAAGAGGTGCTTGCATTCTGCTTTGGGGGGAGGCGCTGCGCCCTCCCCCCAATCCCCCCCCCTCCCGCTTTTTTTAATTTAAACTTAAACCCAAGTTACATTAGTTGGTTTTTGCGAACTAACCTTCTCTGGAAAGCCGACAGGATTACATGTGATAGATAGATAGATAGATAGATAGATAGATAGATAGCTGGATAGATAGATAGCTTGATAGATAGATAGCTTGGTAGATAGATAGCTAGATAGATAGATAGCCAGCTAGATAGATAGATAGCTAGATACCTCGATAGATAGATGGCTAGATAGATAGCTAGATAGATAGATGGCTAGATAGATAGCTAGATAGATAGATAGCTGGCTAGATAGATAAAGAGGTAGCTAGATAGATAGCTAGATAGATAGATAGATAGCTAAATAGATAGGTAGATATTTAGCTAGATAGATAGATAGATAGCTAGATAGATAGCTCGATAGCTAGATAGCTGGATAGACAGCTGGATGGCTAGATAGATAGATAGCTAGATAGATAGAAAGCTAGATAGCTAGATAGCCAGATAGATAGTTAGCTAGATAGCTCGATAGCTAGATAGCTGGATAGACAGCTGTATGGCTAGATAGATAGATAGCTAGATAGATAGAAAGCTAGATAGCTAGATAGCTAGATAGATAGTTAGCTAGATAGCTAGATAGGTAGATAGATAGCTAGCAAGATAGCTAGCTAGATAGGTAGATAGATAGCTAGATAGATAGATAGATAGATAGCTTGCTAGATAGATAGCTAGCTTGCTAGATAGATAGCTAGATAGCGAGATAGCTAGCTAGCTGGATAGATAGCTAGCGCCCTCCCTCAATCCCCCCCACCCGCTTTTTATCTAATCCCAAGCTTCCGCATCTGTAAATATTTGGGTGAACATGCTCACATGTAGAACATCCCATGCAAAATGGAAGGTGAACATGCCAAAATGTGGCAAATACCATACAAAATGGAAGGTGAACATGCCCACATGTAGGAAAACCCATGCAAAATGGAAGGTGAACATGCCAAAATGTGGCAAATACCATACAAAATGGAAGGTGAACATGCCCACATGTAGTAAATCCCATGCAAAATGGAAGGTGAACTGGTGAACATGCCCAAATGTGGCAAATACCATGCCAAATGACAAATTCAAGTTCCAAACCGTTGCAAACACTAGGCAAATGGTACCAGCCAAGAAATCCAAAAAAAAATCCCAAACCTGCTCAAAAAAAAATCCTAAAACTATTTCACACCCATTGAAAAAGCCACGTTGCTAGTATCCTGGCAGCTACTTGATGGAGTTGTAGGCAGCAAGACCATTTTGCTTTTGTCACAAGTCCTCTGATTGGAAGGCGATGAAGGATGATGAAGGATGATGAAGGGGCAAGACTAATGACCAATGATACTAATGGATCCATGCCACAAACCAAGTCGGAATTCAAACGCACATAACGCATGCCTTTGGTAGAATTCGGTAGAGTGCCGTCGACATCCGTCTGCCAGCTTTTGAAACAAAGGACTTGTCCCTGGACGGCTTCTACATTGAGTGGACGGAGCGATTGTCTAATGCTGATGCTTCCGCTTTTGAAAAGCTTTGTTCCTCGGCAAAACTTTGCTGATTGAGTTCTTTTGGTGATTCCCGGCAGTGATTCAATATCCAACGGCACTCTCATGATTAAGGCCCGAAGAAATTGTCCTTACAGACAAAAAAATCAATCAGATCAGAGTAGAATGATTGGATTGGAGCAGCAATAATCCTATCCCCCCAAAGTAGTATTAAACACCCTCTGAATGGTTCCAAATATGTGCAAATGCCCGCCTTATAATAATGTTTAATAGGAACGGGGGATGAGAGTTTTGCGACGACAGGACGACGTGTTTTTTTTCTCGAGTTTTTGTGACGATGTGACGACTACATCCTGCTGCTGTTGCTGTCGAGGTGGCATGTGCACTGTGGG